GCGAGGGGAGGGAAAAAGATATCCCGTGCAAGTGGACATCAAAAGAAAGCTGGAGTAGCAATTCTCCTATCAGACAAAATTGACTTTAAAATAAAGGCTATTACAAGAGACAAAGAAGGACACTACATAATGATCAAGGGTTCAATCCATGAAGAAGATACAACAATTGTAAATATTGATGCACCCAGCATAGGAGCATCTCAATACATGAGGCAAATACTAGCAGCCATAAAAGGGGAAATCGACAGTAACACAATCATAGTAGGGGACTTTAACACCCCACTTCCTCCAATGGACAGAATATCCAAAGTGAAAATATATAATGAAACACAAGGTTTAAATGATACATTAAACAAGATGGACTTAATTGATATTTATAGGACATTCCATCCAAAAACAACAGAATATACTTTCTTCTCAAGTGCTCATGGGACATTCTCCAGGATAGATCATATCTTGGGTCACAAATCAAGCCTGGGCAAATTTAAGAAAATTGAAAACGTATCAAGTATCCTTTCTGACCACAATGCTATGAGACTGGATATCAATTACAGGAAAAAGTCTGTGGAAAATACAAACACATGGAGGCTAAACAATACACTACTAAATAACCAGGAGAGCACTGAAGAAATCAAAGAGGAAATCAAAAAATACCTAGAAACAAATGACAATGAAAACATGACAACCCAAAACCTATGGGATGCAGCGAAAGCAGTTCTAAGAGTGAAGTTTAGACCAATACAATCCTACCTCAAAAAACAAGAAACATCTCAAATAAACAACCTAACCTTACACCTAAAGCAATTAGAGAAAGAAGAACAAAAAACCCCACAAAGTTAGCAGAAGGAAAGAAATCATAAAGATCAGATCAGAAATAAATGAAAAAGAAATGAAGGAAACAACAGCAAAGATCACTAAAACTAAAAGCTGGTTCTTTGAGAAGATAAACAAAACTGATAAACTATTAGCCGAACTCATCAAGGAAAAAAGAGAGAAGACTCAAAACAACAGAATTAGAAATGAAAACGGAGAAGTAACAACTGACACTGCAGAAATACAAAGGATCATGAGCGATTCCTACAAGCAACTCTATGCCAATAAAATGGACAACCTGGAAGAAAGGGACACATTCTTAGAAAAGCACAACCTTCTGAGACTGAACCAGGAAGCAATAGAAAATATGAACAGACCAACCTCAAGCACTGAAATTGAGACTGTAATTAAAAATCTTCCAACACACAAAAGCCCAGGACCAGATGGCTTCACAGGTGAATTCTATCAAACATTTAGAGAAGAGCTAACACCTACCCTTCTCAAACTCTTCCAAAAAATTGCAGAGGGAGGAACACTCCCAAACTCATTCTATGAGGCCACCATCACCCTGATACCAAAACCAGACAAAGAGGTCACCAAGAAAGAAAACTACAGGTAAATATCACTGATGAACATAGATGCAAAAATCCTCAACAAAACACTACCTAACAGAATCCAACAGCACGTTAAACAGATCATACACCATGCTCGAGTGGGGTTTATCCGAGGAATTCAAGGATTCTTCAATATACGCAAATCAATCAATGTGATACACCATATTAACAAATTGAAGGATGAAAACCACATGATCACCTCAACAGATGCAGAAAAAGCTTTCAACAAAATTCAACACCCATTTATGATAAAAACCCTCCAGAAAGTAGGCAGAGAGGGAGCTTACCTCAACATAATAAAGGCCATATATGACAAACCCAGAGCCAACATCATTCTCAATGGTGAAAAACTGAAACCATTTCCACTAAGATCAGGAACAAGACAAGGTTGCCCACTCTCACCACTATTATTCAACATAGTTTTGGAAGTTTTAGCCATAGCAATCAGAGAAGAAAAAGAAATAAAAGGAATCCAAATCGGAAAAGAAGAAGTAAAGCTGTCACTGTTTGCAGATGACATGATACTATACATAGAGAATCCTAAAGATGCTACCAGAAAACTACTAGAGCTAATCAATGAATGTGGTAAAGTAGCAGAATACAAAATTAATGCACAGAAATCTCTGGCATTCCTATACACTAATGATGAAAAATCTGAAAGTGAAATTAAGGAAACACTCCCATTTACCACTGCAACAAAAAGAATAAAATACCTAGGAATAAACCTACCTAAGGAGACAAAAGACCTGTATGCAGAAAATTATAAGACACTGATGAAAGAAATTAAGGATGATACAAATAGATGGAGAGATATACCATGTTCTTGGATTGGAAGAATCAACATTGTGAAAATGACTCTACTACCCAAAGCAATCTACAGATGCAATGCACTCCCTATCAAACTACCACTGGCATTTTTCACAGAACTAGAACAAAATATTGCACAATTTGTATGAGAACACAAAAGACCTCGAATAGCCAGAGCAATCTTGAGAAAGAAAAAGAGAGCTGGAGGAATCAGGCTCCCTGATTTCAGACTATACTACAAAGCTACAGTAATCAAGACGGTATGGTACTGGCACAAAATGAGAACTGTAGATCAATGGAACAGGATAGAAAGCCCAGAGATAAACCCATGCATGTATGGTCACCTTATTTTTGATAAAGGAGGCAAGAATGTACAATGGAGAAAAGACAGCCTCTTCAATAAGTGCTGCTGGGAGAACTGGACAGCTACATGTAAAAGAATGAAATTAGAACACTCCCTAACACCATACACAAAAATAAACTCAAAATGGATTAAAGACCTAAATATAAGGCCAGACACTATAGAACTCTTAGAGGAAAACATAGGCAGACATTCTATGACATAAATCACAGCAAGATCCTTTCTGACCCACCTCTTCAGAGTAATGGAAATAAAACCAAAAATAAACAAATGGGACCTAATGAAACGTAAAAGCTTTCGCACAGCAAAGGAAACCATAAACAAGATGAAAGACAACCCTCAGAATGGGAGAAAATATTTGCAAATGAAGCAACGGACAGAGTATTAATCACCAACATTTACAAGCAGCTCATGCAGCTCAATATCAAAAAAACAAACAACCCAATCCAAAAATAGGCAGAAGACCTAAACAGACATTTCTCCAAAGAAGATATACAGATTGCCTTAAAGCACATGAAAGGATGCTCAACATCACTAATCATTAGAGAAATGCAAATCAAAACTACAGTGAGGTATCACCTCACACCAGTCAGAATGGCCTTCATCAAAAAATCTAAAAACAGGGCTTCCCTGGTGGCGCAGTGGTTGAGAGTCCACCTGCCGATGCAGGAGACACGGGTTCGTGCCCCAGTCCAGGAAGATCCCACATGCCGCAGAGCAGCTGGGCCCGTGAGCCATGGCTGCTGAGCCTGCGCGTCCAGAGCCTGTACTCCACAATGGGAGAGGCCACAACAGTGAAAGGCCCGCATACCAAAAAAAAAAAAAAAAAAAAAATTACAAACAATAAATGCTGGAGAGGGTGTAAAGAAAAGGGAACCCTCTTGCATTGTTGGTGGGAATGTAAATTGATACCGCCACTATGGAGAACACTATGCAGGTTCCTTAAAAAACTAAAAGTAGAACTACCATATGATCCAGCAATCCCACTACTGGGTATATACCCTTAGAAAACCATAATTCAAAAAGAGTCATGTACCAAAATGTTCATTGCAGCTCTATTTACAATAGCCAGGACATGGAAGCAACCTAAATGTCCATTGACTAATGATTGCATAAAGAAGATGTGGCACATATATACAATGGAATATTACTCAGCCATAAGAAGAAACGAAATTGAGTTATTTGTAGTGAGGTGGATGGACCTAGAGTCTATCATACAGAGTGAAGTAAGCCAGAAAGAGAAAAACAAGTACCATATGCTAACACATATATATGGAATCAAAAAAGAAAAAAGTGGTTCTGAAGAACCTAGGGGCAGGACAGGAATAAAGACACAGACGTAGAGAATGGACTTGAGGACACGGGGAAGGGGAAGGGTAAGCTGGGACGAAGTGAGAGAGTGGCATGGACTTATATATACTAACAAATGTAAAATAGATAGCTAGTGGGAAGCAGCCCCATAGCACAGGGAGATCAGCTCGGGGCTTTGTGACCACCTGGAGGGGTGGGATAGGGAGGGTGGGAGGGAGGCGAAAGAGGGAAGAGATATGGGGATATATGTATATGTATAACTGATTCACTTTGTTATAAAGCAGAAACCAACACACCATTGTAAAGCAATTATACTCCAATAAAGATGTTTAAAAAAAAAAAGAAAAAAGCAAGCCTATTGGGGGGTGTGTGTGTGTGTGTATGTGTGTGTGTTCTTGCTTTACGTATTTCTGTAGGACTGAAGGCAGATGTAGCCTGAATTCAAAGGCTCCTTCTGCCATCTGTAAAAGCCTAAGCCCACTGAATGCTGGGAATGGGTGGGGAGGAAGGGACAAAGGCTTTAACAGCCCTGAAGAGGAGGGGAGAGACTTCTCCTGGGCTGGAGAAATAGAAAGACACACTCTCAGAATGAATGGTGGCCTAGTGGTCTTGAGGCAGCAGGACGCCACATCAGTACTCTCGACCTGGCAAAGACACCCACGCCCCAGGGAGCATGGAAGCAGACAACCCCCAGCCCCGCCAACCTCAAGGGACCTCCAAGGATTATCATAGGGAGGATGTCAGTGGCAACCAGAAGACTAAAGGTACAGCCCCTGTTTTCTTAGCTGGAAGCTTCCTGGATCCTGAGGTCACCCCAGGAGGAGGAAGGGCCACCATAATCACCAGGAAGGGATTTTCTGTTCATCTGCTCAGATGAGGACTCAGTCAAAAAAAGTTGATTCAAAGGAAATTAAGATATTAACTCTCTTTGCAAATATGTGTTTGAGATTCATACCACAGCAAGAGTTCTTATACCACGTATCATATAAGACACAGATACAAACACCTGCTCCCCCTCTCTCCCTTGTCCCCCAGTCAGAGATCAGGTACCCCAGATCTGCTGGCTGGAGAGTACCTCACAGCCTGCAGCTTACCTGGGGAGCAGGTGCTTGCGGCTGACACACAGTGCAGTCTGGTAGTCCTGGGTCACACACACCTTGTGAGGGCTGCATTTCACCTTTAGGCAGGGGTCTTTGGATGGGTCCAGAGCTGAGGCAAAAAGAACATGAAAAGAGGAGTTAGGACCTCCAGGGAAATTTAATTTCTATTTCTACTCAAATAAACAAGAGGGAAATAAAGAGACCATGTGTTTGCACCCTGCACTGTTTACTTAGGCTGGTGGGGATTGGAATGAAAACCCACACCGGGGGCGAATTCTGTGTCTATTCCACGTTGTTTTCTTCAGCATCAGGAGAGTGATTCTTCTGTGCTTTGGGGAGTTTCACTGTCTTCATCTTGGCCAGGAATTACTTTTAAAAATCCTTTAGAATCTTGTATGTTCGGAGGACCAAAGGCCACATTTCCCTCTTTGGTTATTTGTCTGCTATTGCTTTTTATGACTTTGTGCCCAATTTTACTTATTTCCTACAATAGAAAGTCCCAGAGGACAGAGTTTTTTGGCTTCAGTTCCATCAACACGGACTGTGAGCACAAAGAAGCCTATTTTAAGTTTTGTGGAGAACTTCAGGATGCACAAGACAGTTTTGAGCCACACAAACTTATGATATAAACAGGTGGGGGGAAAAGCTGGCACATAAATATTTATTGTGCAAGGGAGAATTAGATAAGGGCCATGACAGGCATATAAAATGATAACAGAGGTTGAGCAAAAAAGAGAGATCAATTTCTGGGGCAAGGATTAATGAGGCATTAATATGTGAATTGGATCTTAAGGGATGGGCAGGATTTTAGAAAGCAAAGCTAGAAAAGGCAATCTAGGCAGGGCGGCCAGCACACTCCAAGGTAGACAGGCGCGGCTGGGCAATGCTAAGATATTCAGTCTGACTAGGAAGTGGGCTTTGTGGGTGGGAATAATGAGGGCGGAGGTTGATTCGACCAAGTCACTGGAGAAGGGTCTCCAAAGCCAGCAGATCATACCCTGAAGCATTTCCTAGAACAGGCAGGGCAGCGGGCCCCTGGCTACGCAACACTCCACAGGCTGAGGTGTACACGCTCATCAGGGCAGACAAGAGGCCACAGGAAATCCTCTGCAAAACAAAAACAACGGTGCCATCTCCCAGCTCTGCGTCCTAAAGCCTATCAGGTGGTCAATCTGTCATAACTGCTCTCCACAACCAGGCGAGGTCATGCTCCCCATGCAAACATTCAGTTAAACAAATCGGGGTCCCAAGCAGGGACAGCAAAACTGCTACAAGAAATAGGGCTTCCCTGGTGGCGCAGTGGTTGAGAGTCCGCCTGCCGATGCAGGGGATACGGGTTCGTGCCCCGGTACGGGAGGATCCCACATGCCGCGGAGCGGCTGGGCCCGTGAGCCATGGCCGCTGAGCCTGCGCGTCCGGAGCCTGTGCTCCACAACGCGAGAGGCCACGACAGTGAGAGGCCCACGTGCCGCAAAAAAAAAAAAAAAAAAAGTTTTTGTAAAAAAAAAAATCAAGAGACTATGCCTAACACAGAGCAGATACCCACGGGACGTTAATTTCATCTTTCCTGCCCACATACAAAAACCAATCAAGTGTCAACTGGCATAGGATATATGTCCAATTAATTTTTTCAATAATTTTTACAAAAACTTTTTTCAAAGGGAAAAAATAAAACAAGAATGAATTAATTTAAGCAGAAATTTGTCAAGCTGAAAAACATCAAATTCAAAAGCCAGTTAATTACAGGCTTCATGTAAGCGTTTTTTGAAAGTAATTTTATTTTTTAAGCTCACTGCTTGGTCTCAATTAAGGTACTGATATTTTAATTATCGTAATTGTTTCTGAACTTGTTTTTCAGTATGAGTTAATTTTTAATTAGCTACGTTGATTTGAAAATTCTGAATCAAGACTTTTTGCTGTCTTTGGGCACATCCTTCAAGCTCACTGTCAAACAGTCATAATACCTGGAACAGCAGAGCAGGGTACCACCTCAGGGGTGCTAAGATGAGAGAATGTTCCATTTTGTGGGCTGACCAAAGGGTCCCCGAGAGTCACCTGGGGGTGTGACATATGCTTGGGTTTATTCCGTTAATATTTGCAGAGCATCAGTTCTGTGCAGGCCCATTTTTTCAGGCTGGAGGCTGCCACTTCTAGAGTGAACGAGATGTCATTCCTGCCCTCCAGAAGCTCACAGCTCAACAGGGGAGACACGCGATATGAGGGTAAGTTCTGTATGTTATGGGAGATGGGGGAGGTACCTCATCCAGCCTTTCAGTGGGTTAGGTGAGACTTCCTGGACAGACTGCTATCTATGGAAAAGTGGGTTTAACCCAGGTAATAGGATGAGGAAGAACATGCTGGGTAAAAAGAAGCTCCCATTCCAGATGTAAGAGAAATTGTGGCAAGTCTGGGGAATGGCAACATTTCATCAGGCCGGCAGCAGGCTGGAGCAGGGGTGGTGTGAGACACGACTGCAGACAGTGGCAGCATCATCATGGGGGGCCTTGAAACCACAATGAGGACTCCGGGGGGGGGGGCCGGGGGCACCAAGTTCCACAGTGACGTCAAATATGGCACACCCTCCCATGCTGAAGTTGGTGGAGAGGGGGTAGGAAGAGAGAACCCTTTATACACATCTCACATGGAAACTGGTCCTTTGATTAGAACAGACACACTCTACACCACGCGTACCCTCCAAATGAGAGGGGGTGCCGAGTGGAGGGCCCAGTAGTCAACTCTTAGTGCCCCCTTTCCTCCTTTGAGGAACCTCCGTGACCCCTTTTCCTGGGGATATTAAGCTACCTGGGGAGACCAAGAAGCAAAGATTTAATCCAAAAACACCATGTGAACTCGTGGTCCACTCCTGTGACTTGTGGAAACTTCCTCTGACAAAAGGTCACTCAATCTTCAAAGAGTTGACAGATTAATGACTGTTTGTTGTCTCCTCCTTCCTTTTAACGTTGCTCTCTGCCCGAATCGTGCTCATGTGAGGTTCATCTGAAGAGTAAAAACGCTCCCACTGATTCATTAGGAGTGACTTAATGGAAGACTGACCAAGAAATTACTCCAAACTGCTAAAACCTTGTCAAGCTGAGATCCCAAACATTTATGACGGTTTGTCTGTCCCCATGGTAACCCGTGCATGCATCTCGCTTCCCCCCACCCCCTCCGGAGGGGCTTGTTTACTAGCTCATGACAGAGCCTCACAGAACACAAACCAGAAGATTCCACCCAAAGGATTTTGCTGGAACCATAGAGGAATGGCAGCTTGGAAATCTTCCATCACTGATCTCAGCTTTCAAATCCAGGGGCTGGCCATGTTCTCTGAGGCCAAACAAAGGGGCCTGTGGGCCATGCGCCTAAATAGGACAGATAGGTGAGTGATATAGAAGGCTGAATGTGTGTGTCCAAGGACTGGGAGATGCGAGTGGGTGGGGACATAGGACAGACAAGGACAAAGGGATAAAAAGATGCATCTGACCAAAAATACCCTCCTGGGAAGAGACCTTTTCTTCCCCCTTCAAACCAAGGGTCTGAAGACTCATTTTGTTCTGTTAAAACTAAAAGCATCCTCTCTCTTATATTTGTGTGTGTGTGTGTGTGTGTGTGTGTGTGTGTGTTTGCAGGGGGTGGTGTAAACTATGAAGAGCCCTTTTGGAGGGCAGTTTTTCAACCATGTCCTTAAATGATAATAACCGTTAAACATAGGTAGATAGGTATTTATTATATCGTTCCCTCAACTTTTATATATATATGAAAATTTTAATAATAAATGGAAAGAACAGAAAAAAGAAACAGCCTATGACCTAGCAGGTGAATGTGTTAAGCAAAAACATGTATCTTAATGATCTACAATAAGAGGAAATTATAAACAGCTATATCCATCTATATCCATCTGCTCAGACTGCCACAAAATACCAGAGATTGAGTGGCTTGAATAACAGAAACCTATCTTCTCACAGTTCTGGAGGCTGGAAGGCTGAGATCAGGGTGCCAATATGGTCAGTTTCTGGTGAGTGCTCTCTTCCTGGCTTGCAGACGACCACCTTCTGTGTCTTCACATGGGTTTCTCCAGGTATACTCAGAGAGTGACTAAGCTCTCTTGACACCTCTTCTTATAATGATACCTATCCTACTGTATCAGGGTCCCACCCTTAAGACCTCACTTAACCTTAATTACTTCCTTAAAGGCTCCATCTCCAGAAACAGCCATAGTGAGGATTATGGCTTCAACACAAGCGTTCATTCCATCACACCATCTACAGGGAGATGGTTACCTTAACTACAAGACGTCCATTTATGAGATACTGTCCACCTACTATAAAGGAAGAAGTAGGTTTATATGTATTAACATAGGTAGATGTTTATGGTGCATTAAGTGAAAAGGGAAGGTAAAGATGAGAAAATTGATTTGAAAAAGATAAGTAACTTTCTGACAATACATGGCTAATAAATGGCAAAGCCAGTACTCAGAACCAGGTCTGTCTACATCAAAGGAGATGTCCTTTCCCTCTGCTATCGCGCTTCCCTTGAAAAGAAGCACCAGCCCCAACCTCCACCCATTCATACAGAGGACATCCTCCTGAACGTCCCCTACCTCCTGGGGCCATCCCTGCAACAAGCTGTGAATCAATTCAGATGCCCTATGGCTGCGGGCCACCACCACTGCAGCCTGTCACTGAGTAGTCTAGAAACACTACCCCCAAAAGGCAGAGTCTCCTGCTTCCTGGAGAATCTCTACAGCAGGGAGACAATGACAAGTCATGACCATCGCTGGAGGCAAGAGCAAGTGTCCAGTCTTGTGAGAGTATATGGCACTTCTGCCTCTGAGACGTAAGAGTTAAGGATGCCCTATGCTGGGCTACAAGTAATAGCAGTGGCAGGGAAGAGCTTTAATCCCCTGCTCATGTGCAAAGCGAGACATTATGAGCAACCACCGATAAGTCCCACATGGCTAATTTACACATCCTGATCATTAGAAACGAACGTGTTCAGAAGGGTCTACCAGGGCAGCTGTGACAATAGGCGCCATAATATCACAGGCCACGAAATGTTATTAGCCTGGCCAGTCAAGGCTCTTTCTCAAAGCTCTCATCCCACACCTTGTCC